TCCTTCTTTCTTTCTCTCACATTCTCCTTTCTTTCTCTCTCTCTCTCCCTCCCTCCCTCTCTCTTTCTTTCTTTCTCTCGCTCTTTCTTTCCTTCTTTCTTCTTTTGTTCCTTCTTTCTTTCTCTCACATTCTCCTTTCTTTCCTTCTTTCTCTCTTTCTTTCTCTCTCTCTCTCCCTCCATCCCTCTCTCTCTTTCCTTCTCTTTCTTTCTTTCTTTTTCTCTCTTTCTTTATTTCTTTCTTTCTCTCTGACAGAGTCTTGCTGTGTTGTCCAGGCTAGATAGAGTACAGGAGTGTGATCATGGCCCACTGCAGCCTCAAACTCCTGGGCTCAAGCAATCCTCCCAAGTAACTGGGACTAAAGGTATGCACCACCACACCCAGCTAATATTTTATTTTATTTATTTATTTATTTATTTATTTATTTATTTATTTATTTTATTTTAGTATTATTATTATTTATTTTTTTATTTATTTTGAGACGGAGTCTGGCTCTGTCACCAAGTCTGGAGTGCAATGGCGCGATCTCGGCTCACTGCAACCTCCGTCTCAAAAAAAAAAAAAAAAAAAAAAAACGTAGTTCAATCTTCTCAAAATTGAAAAAGGAGGAAAAAATTCTTTACAGATTCTTATACAACCAGTATTATTATTATTTATTTATGTATTTATTTTGAGACGGAGTCTGGCTCTGTCACCAAGTCTGGAGTGCAATGGCGCGATCTCGGCTCACTGCAACCTCCGCCTTCCGGGTTCAATCGATTCTCCTGCCTCATCCTCCTGAGTAGCTGGGACTACAGGTGCGCACCACCACGGCTGGCTAATTTTTGTACTTTTAGTAGAGACAGGGTTTCACCATTTTGGCCAGGATGGTTTGGGTCTCTTGACCTGGTGATCTGCCTGCCTAGGCCTCTCAAAGTGCTGGAATTACAGGCGTGAGCCACCTGGCCCGGCCACAACCAGTATTTCTTGCAAAGCATAATACAACTTTATCATGCATTATGTCTTCAGTGGAATAAAAATTCACAATTGTCAAAGAACCTTTTTGTCGCATTTCACTTTTCAATATTATTAAAGAAATGAGGCAAGGAAGAGATTTTTTATTGGCAATTTCTAATTGATTATGTCTTCCACTCTTTCTAATGAAAGGGGTTATTTTAACACAGCAACATGATCAGAGAAAGCCCTAGAGATGAGTAGAAATGAATAGTATTGAGCTTTTCCATCCTTCCTGCTTTGCAACCTGGGGAGTAAATTTCAGTCCAACTTACTTCATTTTGCAGCAAGACAATTTAACTAAGTCCACTAGTAGTTTGCTGCTTTATGAGGTTCTACTGTCAGCTTTGACTTTTGGTACAATTAAGGAGCCACAAAGTCCCTGGAGTAGATGTATGAAACTTCTTTCCCTTGCTCTGATAATGTCAGGCTTGAGGATTTAAACTGGTTTCCCTGTTTCCTTGCACGTTGTGTTAATATACTTGGTTTGCCTCCAATCAAGTTTTTTTTTCCTTTTTAAAATCCTTCCCTTAGTGGGAATAGATGTTTAAAAATCAGTGTTCTTGCTTGATGACTTGTGATATATAAAAAAAATTCGATGCTCATAAAAAGCAAACTTTGGCTCAAAGAAAATGTTGCATTTATAGTTAGTCAGTGAATCTCCTCTGGCCTCAATTTCCCCAGTTCCACAACACATTTCTGTCCTTGGGATGCTGCAAGGGGTTAATTAATTAAGATTTGTAAAGGACTTTGAGGAGTAGGGGACAAAGTATTATTAGGGTCTCATGCCCCAAGCCATGGCCCCATCCTTTCATCCCAGCCAGTGGCACAGGCAACCCCATTCTTATGCATGCCAAGCCCCTAATCCCCTCTTGAATGTGGAAGCTTCCAAGGAAAGGACAAGAGGCCTTAACTAGAAACAAAAATCCACTGTAATGAGGTGCTAAGAGGACTGAACTTTCAAGATTCATTCCTAACAAAGTGGCTGAACAGAAAAATGTAATGGTTCTTCTGTGACTTCTGAGTTCCAATCCAAGAAAGTGGGAGTTATGGGAAGAGCAAAAACATCTGACAAGGGGATGACAGTTTGAGTACCAATAAGTCTTTATTTATTCATTGTATTTTCCCAGGGAAAGGAGAAGGGAAGGGAAGAGTCAGCATGTGTTAAAAAATGATTAAAAAATGGGAAAGGAAGTACCCAGTACAGCAAAATCAACCATCAAATAAACACACCCCAGTGATGGGGTCACCAAAGCCCAAAGGGGCTCAGTCTCCTGCAGTTCAGGAATGAGGGAAAGGGATCAGGAAAAAAACAGACAGGTACAGGCTTTCCTACCCTCCCTTCCCATAAATTCAAGATTTTACACAAAGCTTTGGTTTCTAGCAGTAAACATGGAGTTACATTCGTTCGTCTCCTATTAAACAATCTTGTGGCCACTTTGACATAAGTTTCTAGCACCTGCATAAAAGTTCCTGAGTGACTTGGATATACATTCATATTCCCTTTCTTGGCCTCCTGACCCCACTTTCTACATGGAAGGCCCCAGTTGCATCTCTCTACTTTAGGATTAAAAATTAAGTAGGTTTGATCCATCCAAAATACAGCAGTGATGTATTT